TCTCCTGCTAAGACCAATGATGGGGCACTATTTCTTCCTGGTAAGACCAATGATGGGGCACTATTCCTTCTGCTAACTACCAATGATGGGACACTATTCCTCCTGCTAAGACCAATGATGGGGCACTATTCCTCCTCCACTGACACCAATGATGGGACACTATTCCTCCTTCTACTACCCAATGATGGGGCACTATTCCTCCTTCTACGTCCAATGATGAGCACTATTCTTCCTGGTAAGACCAATGAAGGGACACTATTCTTCCTTCTAAGACCAATGTTGGGGCACTATTCCTCCTGCTAAGACCAATGATGGGGCAATTTTCTTCCTGCTAAGACCAATGATGGTGCAATTTTTTCCTGCTAAGACCAGTGATGGGGCACTATTCCTCCTGCTAAGACCAATGATGGGTGCAATTTTCTTCCTTCTAAGACCAATGATGGGGCACTATTCTTCCTGCTAAGACCAATGAAGGGGCACTTTTCCTCCTGCTAAGACCAATGATGGGACACTATTCCTCCTGCTAAGACCAATGATGGGGCACTATTCCTCCCACTGACACCAATGATGGGACACTATTCCTCCTTCTACGTCCAATGATGGGGCACTATTCCTCCTTCTACGTCCAATGATGAGCACTATTCTTCCTGGTAAGACCAATGAAGGGACACTATTCTTCCTTTCTAAGACCAATGTTGGGGCACTATTCCTCCTGCTAAGACCAATGATGATGGTGCAATTTTTCTTCCTTCTAAGACCAATGATGAGCACTATTCTTCCTGGTAAGACCAATAATGGGGCACTATTCTTCCTGCTAAGGACCAATGAAGGGGCACTATTCCTCCTGCTAAGACCAATGAGGGGCACTATTCCTCCTGCTAAGACCAATGATGGGGCATTATTTCTCCCACTGACACCATTGATAGGGCACTATATTTTGCGATTGATACCAACCATGGTTCACTGTTCCTCCTGCTAAAGCCAACACCGGGACACTATTCCTCCTGTTGAAACCAACGATGGAGTATTCTCCCCTCTGTCTTATATAGTGTGGGGTGGATGATGTGCACTGTGAGAGCGCAGAGCATTGTGGGGTGTTTGGTGGACGACCAGTTGGTGGTGCCTTCACACCTTAACCCTTCACAGTTATTATTGCCGAGTGCAGAATTGGACCCTGCTCTAAAAATTCTAATTATATGAACCTGCCATACAAAAGTCACCAAGACTTTGGTCAATCATGGCTCTTCCTGAGAACTCAGCTGTGATTGGCCAAAGCATTGCACCTGACCAGTGGTCAGGTGCTATGCTTTCGCCAATCACAAACGGTGTTTTACATTGTTTGGTTGCGTGGATGAACTTCCTGCGGAACGCCCTTACCGCTCGAGTGTCCATCAAACACACGAACGGGCCAATGTTAGAGTCGAACTTATGCCCATCCCTAGTCAGGATCAGGCAATTCACAAAAAAGCCAGTTAAAGACCGCATGCAATCATTTTTTTTTTCAATTTTGCGGTATTTAATGCATTTTTTTACATCGTATTTTACTGCAAACTGGACATCTGCTGCAGGAAGTGACATTTCCATACATAGTTACATAGGTAAATAGTTTGTCTGGCTGAAAATAGACAAAATCCTTCCAGTTCAACCATTGAAAATAAAAAAAAAAAAAGTTATAATCCTACACCCACAGTTGATCCAGAGGAAGGCAAAAAAACCACCCCCAGCAAAGCACGATCCAATTTGCACCTGCTGGGAAAAAATTCCTTCCTGATCCCCTGAGAGGCAATCGGATATTCCTGGATCCACTTTCCCTATAAATGTTCTATCCAGTTATATTCTGTGTATCCAAGAAAGAATCCAGGACTTTCCTACAGCAATCCACTGAGCTGGCCACAACCAACTCTGGAGGGAGTCTATTCCACATTCTCACAGCTCTCACTGTGAAGAAGCCTTTCCGTGTTTGGAGATGGCATTCCTACCACTGTGAAATGTAACAGTTTCAGCTCAGGGATGCTGGTTGTTAAGGAACCGGCACCTGCCAGCATCCTAGCAACCAGTGACTCATCCCTGCCCTGCTTATTAAGCTGTCAGCTGGGGTGTCAAGACCTGGATTGCCTACTGGTGGCACTGTGGTTCCCTGAGTGGTGGGTTGTAATTCCGTGTCCACCAGTGGGTGTCTCCCAGCTGGGGAGGATATTTAGGTCCTCTCCTTTTAGTGCCTTTGGCTCCAGTGTTGCTGCCAGACTCTTTTACCATAGATCTGACGGTTTCTGTGGGGGTCTTCAGGCGGGAGCTTATCAGAATCTGGAAGCTCCCTTTAACTCCCCTTTAACAATAAGGGGCCCCCCCAGACTGAGTAAGAGTAGTACCCTTACTCATTAAAAAAAATGTACCCTAGGAATAAAACCCAAACGTTTGACAAGTTCAGTATTCAAAAAAATATATAAAAAATGTTGAACAATGTACATCCTTCGTCAATCACATCCTCCAACTATGCAGGTCCACATTAATCATGGTGAACGATGGCCGTCAACCCGCCCGGAAGAAAAAAACACGCCACTGCCGGAGACACATCCATCCATATATGATCAGTGATGGAAGAAGTGTTTATGGGCTCTAAATTATACAGTCACATGACTTCAAAATCACTATAAAATAACTCCACCCAAGCCACTTACCTACTTTTATCATAGGCATATTTAAATATAGATATAGACACAAATTCCCAAAATTCCAATTAACTTCCACCAGAAAAAAATTCTGAGTGATCTCCTTAAAACCAATATTTTTGACCACTGTCTAAATATGTCCTAGTGACCTGTCCAGATATCTCCTGGTGACGACTGTCCAGATATTTCCCGGTGTCCACTGTCCAGATATGTCCTGGTGATCTGTTCAGATATATCCTGGTGACCATTGTCCAGGTATTGTATATCCTGTTGACCTGTGCAGATATATCCTGGTCACCTGTCCAGATATTTCCCGGTGTCCACTGTCCAGATATGTCCTGGTGACCATTGTCCAGATATATCCTGGTGACCATTGTCCAGATATATCCTGTTGACCTGTGCAGATATATCCTGGTCACCTGTCCAGATATATTCTGATGACCACTGTTCAGATATATCCTGGCGACAATTGTCCAGATATATCCTGGTGACCATTGTCCAGATATATCCTGTTGACCTGTCCAGATATATCCATGTCACCTGTCCAGATATATTCTGGTGACCACTGTTCAGATATATCCTGTGACCCTTGTCCAGATATTTCCTTGTGACCACTGCCCAGATATGTCCTGGTGATCTGTCCAAATATATCCTGGTGACCACTGTCCAGATACTGTATATCTTGTTGACCTGTCCAGATATATTCTGGTGACCACTGTTCAGATATATCCTGGCGACAATTGTCCAGATATATCCTGGTGACCAGTGTCCAGATATATCCTGTTGACCTGTCCAGATATATCCATATCACCTGTCCAGATATATTCTGGTGACCACTGTTCAGATATATCCTGTGACCCTTGTCCAGATATTTCCTCGTGACCACTGTCCAGAAATGTCCTGGTGATCTGTCCAGATATATCCTGGTGACCATTGTCCAGATACTGTATATCTTGTTGACCTGTGCAGATATATCCTTGTCACCTGTCCAGATATATTCTGGTGACAACTGTCCAGGTATATCCTGTTGACTATTGTCCAGATATTTCCTGGTGACCATTGTCCAGATATATTCTGTTGACCTGTCCAGATATATCCTTGTCACTGTCCAGATATATTTTGGTGACCACTGTCCAGGTATATCCTGTTGACTATTGTCCAGATATTTCCTGGTGACCTGTCCAGATATAGCCTATTGACCTGTGCAGATATATCCTTGTCACCTGTCCAGATATATTCTGGTGACAACTGTCCAGATATATACTGGTGACAATTGTCCAGATATATCCTGGTGATCACTGTTCAGATTTATCCATTGTTCAGATATTTTCTGGTGACTATTGTCCAGATATATCCTGGTGACAACTGTCCAGATATATCCTGGCGACCATTGTCCAGATATTTCCTGGTGACCATTGTCCAGATATTTCCTGGTGACTATTGTCCAGATATATCCTGGTGACAACTGTCCAGATATATCCTGGCGACCATTGTCCAGATATTTCCTGGTGACCATTGTCCAGATATTTCCTGGTGGCTATTGTACAGATATATCCTGGTGACCATTGTCCAGATATATCCTGGTGACCATTGTCCAGATATATCCTGGTGACCATTGTCCAGATATATCCTGGCGACCATTGTCCAGATATTTTCTGGTGACCATTGTCCAGATATTTCCTGGTGACTATTGTCCAGATATTCCTGGTGACAACTGTCCAGATATATACTGGTGACAATTGTCCAGATATATCCTGGTGATCACTGTTCAGATATATCCCATTGTCCAGATATTTCCTGGTGACCATTGTCCAGATATATCCTGGTGACCATTGTCCAGATATATCCTGGTGATCATTGTCCAGATATATCCTGGTGACCATTGTCCAGATATTTCCTGGCGACCATTGTCCAGAAATATCCTGGGTGACCATTGTTTACTGGGACAAAAAGTGATGGACTTTCAAACTTTGCAGTTGTCACCAGAATGAGGGAAACTCCTTCTTTGATATCCTCTTCTGTCAGTGAAAATCCTGTTCAACATGTAAGCATAATAGATGGCTTGTGGCCAATGTGAATATCCCCAAAACTTCAAATTATCCAGGTTTCAGTTCTCTAAACACATCACATGCCAGATACACTTTATTGCCAAAAGTATTGCCCCCTCCCAATCATGTGATTCAGGTGTTCCAATCCCCTCCATGGACACAGGTGTATACAATCAAGCCCCTAGGCATGCAGACGGCTTCTACAAACATTGGTGAAAGAATGGGTCGCTCTCAGGAGCTCAGTGACTCCAAGCGTGGTCCCGTGATAGGTGGTCACCTGGGCAATAAATCCATCCGTGACATTTCCTGGCTACTAAATATTCCACGCTCAACTGTTAGTGGGATTATAACAAAGTGGAAGCAACTGGAACAGCAACTCAGCCACCAAGTGGTAGGCCACGTCACATGACAGGGCGGGGTCAGCGCATGCTGAAGCGCACAGTGCGCAGAAGTCACCAAATGTCTTCACAACTGTCTGCAGAGTCAATAGCTAAAGACCTCCAAACTTGGTGTGGCCTTCAGATGAGCCCAACAGAGAGAGAGCTTCATGGAATGGGTTTCCATGGCCGAGCAGCTGCATCCAAGCTTCCATCACCACGAGAATCAATGCAAAGTCGTTGGATGCCGTGGTGTAAAGCACGCCACCACTGGGACTCTAGAGCAGAGGAGACGTGTTCTCAGGAGTGACCAATCACACTTCTCTGTTGGCAATCTGATGGACGTGTTCTGGGTTTGGCGGTGGCCAGGAGAACGGTACTTACTTTACTGCATTGTACCAAGTGTTAAAGTTTGGTGGAGGGGGGATTATGGTGTGGGGTTGTTCTTCAGGGGTTACATAGTTCCATAGTTATGTCTGGCTGAAAAAAAGACAAAAGTCCATCCAGTTCAACCACAGAAAAAAAAAAAAGTTATAATCCTATACCCACAGTTGATCCAGAGGAAGGCAATAACCCCAGCAAAGCACGATCCAATTTGCTCCTGCAGGGGAAAAATTCCTTCCTGATCCCCGAGAGGCAATCGGATATTTCCCTGGATTGACTTTCCCTATTATAAATGTTATATCCCAGGGTTATATTCTGTGTATCCAAGAAAGAATCCCAGGACTTTCCTACAGCAATCCACTGAGCTGGCCACAACCAACTCTGAAGGGAGTCTATTCCACATTCCAACAGCTCTTACTGTGAAGAAAAACCTTTCCAGACTTAAAAGAGCGCCCCCCTTGTCCTCTGTGTGAATGGCAACCTCAGGGGGAAGGTAATAACATCCTACCCCCACTTTAGTTCAATACTTATGAACCACTGATGTATTTTACTACATGGAGATCATATCCCCCCTTATGTAATTATACATGGAGATCATATCCCCCCTTTATGTTTATTTGGAGATCATATCCCCCCTTATTGTATTATACATGGAGATCATATCCCCCCCTTATGTATTATTCATGGAGATCATATTTTACCCCCCTATGTATTTATACATGGAGATCATATCCCCCCTTATGTATTATACATGGAGATCATTATCCCCCCCTTATGTATTATACATGGAGATATCCCATATCCCCCGCCCTTATGTATTATACCCATATCCCCCCTTATGTATTATACATGGAGATCATATCCCCCCCTTATGTATTATACATGGAGATCATATCCCCCCTTATGTATTATACATGGAGATCATATCCCCCCTTATGTATTATACATGGAGATCATATCCCCCTTATTATTATTATACATGGAGATCATATCCCCCTTATGTATTATACATGGAGATCATATCCCCCCCTTATGTATTATACATGGAGATCATATCCCCCCCTTATGTATTATATTACATGGAGATCATATCCCCCCTTATGTATTATACATGGAGAATCATATCCCCCTTATGTATTATACATGGAGGTCATATCCCCCCCCTTATGTATTATACATGGAGATCATATCCCCCCTTATGTATTATATTCCTACATGGAGATTCATAACCCCCCCCCTTATGTATTATATTATATCATGGAGATCAGATCATCCCCCCTTATGTAATTATACATGGAGATCATGATATTCCCCCCCCCCTTATGTATTATACATGGAGATCATATCCCCCCCCTGTATGTAATTACACATGGAGATCATATCCCCCCCCTATACATGGATATTATCCCCCCTTATGTATTATACATGGAGATCATATCCCCCCCCCCTTATGTATTATACATGGAGATCATTTCCCTCCCCCCTTATGTATTATACATGAAGATCATATCCCCCTGTATGTATTATACATGGAGATCATATATCCCCCCTTATGTATTATACACGGAGATCATATCCCCCCCCTTATGTATTATACATGGAGATCATATCCCCCCTTATGTATTATACATGGAGATCATATCCCCCCCTTATGTATTATACATGGTGATCATATCCCCCTTATGTATTATACATGGAGATCATATCCCCCCTTATGTATTAACATGCAGATCATATCCCCCCCTTATGTATTATACATGGAGATCATATCCCCCCTTATGTATTATACATGGAGATCATATCCCCCCCTTATGTATTATACATCGAGATCATATCCCCCCTTATGTATTATACATGGTGATCATATCCCCCCCCTTATGTATTATACATGGAGATCATATCCCCCCTTATGTAATTTATACATGGTGATCATATCTCCCCTTATGTATTATACATGGAGATCATATCCCCCCCTTATGTATTATACATGGAGATCATATCCCCCCTTATGTATTATACATGGAGATCATATCCCTCCTTATGTATTATACATGGAGATCATATCCCCCCCCCCTTAATTTATACATGGAGATCATATCCCCCCCTTATGTATTATACATGGTGATCATATCCCCCCTTATGTATTATACATGGAGATCATATCCCCCTTATGTATTATATGGAGATCATATCCCTCCCCCCCCATTATGTATTATACATGGAGATCATATCCCACCCCCTTATGGATTATACATGGAGATCATATCCCCCCCTTATGTATTATACATGGAGATCATATCCCCCCCTTTATGTATTATACATGGAGATCATATCCCCCCTTATGTATTATACATGGAGATCATATCCCCCCCTTATGTATTATACATGGAGATCATATCCCCCTTCATGTATTATACATGGAGATCATATCCCCCCCCTTATGTATTATACATGGAGATCATATCCCCCCTTATGTATTATACATGGAGATCATATCCCCCCTTATGTATTATACATGGAGATCATATCCCCCTTATGTATTATACATGGAGATCATATCCCCCCTTATGTATTCATGGAGATCATATCCCCCCTTATGTATTATACATGGAGATCATATCCCCCCCTATGTATTATACATGGAGATCATATCCCCCCCTGTATATATACATGGCGATCATATCCCCCCTTATGTATTATACATGGAGATCATACCCCCCTTATGTATTATAACATGGAGATCATATCCCCCTTATGTATTATACATGGAGATCATATCCCCCCCTTATGTATTATACATGGAGATCATATCCCCCTTATGTATTATACATGGAGATCATATCCCCCCTTATTATTATTATACATGGAGATCATATCCCCCCTTATGTATTATACATGGAGATCATATCCCCCCATATGTATTATACATGGAGATCATATCCCCCCTTATGTATTATACATGGAGATCATATCCCCCCCTTATGTATTATACATGGAGATCATATCCCCCACTTATGTATTATACATGGAGATCATATCCCCCCTTATAGTATTACATGGAGATTCATATCCCCCCTTATGTATTATACATGGAGATCATATCCCCCCTTATTATTATACATGGAGATCATATCCCCCCTTATGTATTATACATGGAGATCATATCCCCCCCCTTATGTATTATACATGGAGATCATATCCCCCCTTATGTATTATACATGGAGATCATATCCCCCCTTATGTATTATACATGGAGATCATATCCCCCCTTATGTATTATACATGGAGATCATATCCCCCCTTTTGTATTATACATGGAGATCATATCCCCCCCTTATGTATTATACATGGAGATCATATCCCCCCCCCCTTATGTATTATACATGGAGATCATATCCCCCCTTATGTATTAAACATGGAGATCATATCCCCCCTTATGTATTATACATGGAGATCATATCCCCCCTTATGTATTATACATGGAGATCATATCCCCCCCTTATGTAATTATACATGGAGATCATATCCCCCCTTATGTATTATACATGGAGATCATATCCCCCCTTATGTATTATACATGGAGATCATATCCCCCCTTATGTATTATACATGGAGATCATATCCCCCCTTATGTATTATTATACAATGGAGATCATATCCCCCCTTATGTATTATACATGGAGATCATATCCCCCCTTATGTATTATACATGGAGATCATATCCCCCCTTATGTATTATACATGGAGATCATATCCCCCCTTATGTATTATACATGGAGATCATATCCCCCCTTATGTATTATACATGGAGATCATATCCCCCTTATGTATTATACATGGAGATCATATCCCCCCTTATGTATTATACATGGAGATCATATCCCCCCTTATGTATTATACATGGAGATCATATCCCCCTTATGTATTATACATGGAGATCATATCCCCCTTATGTATTTATACATGGAGATCATATCCCCCCTTATGTATTATACATGGAGATCATATCCCCCTTATGTATTATACATGGAGATCATATCCCCCTTATGTATTATACATGGAGATCATATCCCCCCTTATGTTTATACATGTATTTATACATGGAGATCATATCCCCCTTATGTATTATACATGGAGATCATATCCCCCCTTATGTATTATACATGGAGATCATATCCCCCCTTATGTATTATACATGGAGATCATATCCCCCCTTATGTATTATACATGGAGATCATATCCCCCCTTATGTATTATACATGGAGATCATATCCCCCCTTATGTATTATACATGGAGATCATATCCCCCCCTATGTATTATACATGGAGATCATATCCCCCCTTATGTATTATACATGGAGATCATATCCCCCCTTATGTATTATACATGGAGATCATATCCCCCCCCTTATGTATTATACATGGAGATCATATCCCCCCTTATGTATTATACATGGAGATCATATCCCCCCTTATGTATTATACATGGAGATCATATCCCCCCCTTATGTATTATACATGGAGATCATATCCCCCCTTATGTATTATACATGTATTATATTATACATGGAGATCATATCCCCCTTATGTATTATACATGGAGATCATATCCCCCCTTATGTATTATACATGGAGATCATATCCCCCCTTATGTATTATACATGGAGATCATATCCCCCCCTTATGTATTATACATGGAGATCATATCCCCCCCTTATGTATTATACATGGAGATCATATCCCCCCCTTATGTATTATACATGGAGATCATATCCCCCCTTATGTATTATACATGGAGATCATATCCCCCCTTATGTATTATACATGGAGATCATATCCCCCCTTATGTATTATACATGGAGATCATATCCCCCCCCTTATGTATTATACATGGAGAT